CAGCCAAGTTCTCTATTTTTGCCAAAGCCAGGACTGCGTTCTCCATGCAGGGCAGGTCCCCACTGCTTATGTCATTGACATAGGTCAGGACCAGAGTCTCCAGCCCTACAAATAGAGAACAAAAGATAACATTTGTTGTAGGTGGGGTGAGGAAACAGTCCATCCTCTATAAATCTGATGGTATCTCTCAACACTCATTTGGCTCACAGCATCTGTGTCCTTAGCATCACCTAGAAGTTTGCTAGAAATGCACACTCTCAACCTCTGCTCCCGATCAACTAAATTAAATTCTCCTCTGGCGAGATCCTTGAGTGATATGGACACATATCAAAGGGTGAGAACCTCTGTTGTAGGCACCATAGACCTGTGTTTATTGAGTTCATGTGTTTACCCCTAAGCACATTTAGGATAGGAAATGTACCTCTCATTTATGTCTCTATCATCAGTTCTGGTCCGTGGTAAGCATTTATAAAATCAATATTTGTGAAATATTTAAAAAGTCCTCTGCCCTGGCCAGGTGGCTCAGTTGGTTGGATTATTGTCCCATGCACCTAAAAGTTGTGGGTTTGATTCCTGGTCAGGGCACACACATAGGTTGTGGGTTCAATCCCCAGTTGGGGTGCATGCAGGAGGCAACTGATTAATGTTTCTCTCTCACATCGATGTTTCTTTCTCTCTCTCAAATTCATGGAAAAACATCCTTGGGTGAGGATTAAAAAATTAGAAATAAATTTTAAAAGAAGTCCTCCATTTTATTTATTCTAGCAGAACACTGTCCAAGAGAACTTTCTGTGATGATGGTCATGTGCTATAATATTGGAGCCACTAGCCATGTAATCAGAATTGTTAATTTTCTTTAATTCTAATTAATCTACATGTAATTTTAGTTAAATGTAGCTACTACATTTGTCTAGTAGCTATTATATGGGACTAGAAGCCTAGTGAATGAAATTTATGCACAGGGGGAGGTTGGAGGGGGTGTCCCTTAGCCCAGCCTGCACACTCTCCAACCTTGTGGGATAGGGACTAAACCGGCAGTTGGATATCCTTCTTATAATCCAGGACTGCTGGCTCTTAACTGCTCACCTGCCTGCCTGCCAGCCTGATTGCCAACTAACCTCTACCATGCTGGCCTGATTGATGCCTAACTGCTCCCTTGCTGGGCTGATTGCCCCCTACTGCACTCTCCTGCAGGCCTGGTCACACCCAACTGCCCTCCCCTGCTGGTCTGATTGCCCCCTACTGCACTCCCCTGCAGGCTTGGTCACACCCAACAGCACTTTCCTACTGGCCTGGTTGCTCCCAACTGCCCTCCCCTACTGGCCTGATCTTCCTCTCAACTACCCTCCCCTGCCAGCCTGGTTGAACCAACTGCACTCCCCTGCAGGAGTTGTCACCTCAATCTGCCGTCCCCTGGCAGCCTGGTCTTCCCTAACTGCCCTCCCCTTCAGGCCTGGTCCACCCCCACCCCCCCAACAGCCCTCCCCTGCAGTCCTGGTCGCACCCAACTGCCATCCCCTGCTGGCCATCTTGTGGCACATATCTTATGGTCCCATTTTGTGATGATGTAACGCAACAGCGTGATGTACCTAGGCTTTTTTTCCTTTAATTTCTTTATTGGTTAATGTATTAAAAATGTGTCCTCATCCTCCCATTAACTCCCAACCTCTCCCCCCCTCTCATGCTCTCATCCCCCTGTTGTCTGTGTCCATTGGTTTGGCTTATATGTATGCATACAAGTCCTTTGGTTGATCTCTTCCCCTTACCCACACCCTAGCCTACTTTCCCTCCGGGGATTGACAGTCTGATTGTTGTTTCTCTGTCTCTGGATCTGTCCCTGTTCATCAGTCGATGTTGTTCTCTATAGTCCACAAATGAGTGAGATCATGTGGTATTTATCGTTCTCTGACTGGCAAATTTCACTTAACATAATGCTATCCAGTTCCATCCATGCTGTTGCAAATGGCAAGAATTCCTTCTTTTTTAGCACAGCGTAGTATTCCATTGTGTAGATGTACCACAGTTTTTTAATCCACTCATCTGCTGATGGGAACTTAGGCTGTTTCCAGATCTTAGCTATGGTGAATTGTGCTGCTATGAACATAGAGGTGCATATATCCTTTCTGATTGGTATTTCTGGATTCTTGGGATATATTCCTAGAAGTGGGATCACAGGGTCAAATGGGAGTTCCATTTTTCGTTTTTTGAGGAAACTCCATACTGTTCTCCACAGTGGCTGCACCAGTCTGCATTCCCACCAGCAGTGCAGAAGGGTTCCTTTTTCTCCACATCCTCTCCAACACTTGTTTGTTGATTTGTTGATGATAGCCATTCTGACATGTGTGAGATGACACCGCATTGTCATTTTGATTTGCATCTCTCTTATAATTAGTGACTTTGAGCATGTTTTCATATTTTTTTCAGCCTTCTGTATGTCCTCTTTCGAAAAGTGTCTATTTAGGTACTTTGCCCATTTTTTTAATTGGATTGTTTATTTTCCTTTTGTTAAGTTGTATGAGTTCCCTGTAAATGTTGGAGATTAAACCCTTATTGGTGATATCATTGGCAAATATGATCTCCCATGCAGTGGGCTTTCTTGTTTTGTTGATGGTTTCCTTTGCTGTGCAAAAGGTTCTTATTTTGATGTAGTCCCATTTGTTTATTTTCTCTTTAGTTTCCATTGCCCTAGGAGCAGTATCATAGAAGAAATTCCTTCAGCATATATTTGTGATTTCACTGCCTGTGGATTCCTCTAGTATTTTTATGGTTTCCCATCTTACGTTTAAGTCTTTTATCCATTTTGAGTTTATTTTTGTGTATGGTGTGAGTTTGTGGTCTAGTTTAATTTTTTTGCATATATCTGTCCAATTTTCCCAACACCATTTATTGAAGTGATTATCTTGACTCCATTGTATGTTCTTGCCTCCTTTGTCAAATATTAATTGAGCATATTGGTTCAGGTCAATTTCTGGGCTCTCTATTCTATTCCATTGATCTATATGTCTGTTCTTGTGCCAGTACCAGGCAGTTTTGAGAACAGTGGCTTTGTAATACACCTTGATATCTGGTATTGAGAGCCCACCTACTTTGTTCTTCTTTCTCAGGATTGCTGCAACTATTTGAGATTTTTTTTTATTGCAGATGAATTTTTGGAACATTCATTCTAGATCTGTGAAATATGCCATTGGTATTTTAATGGGGATTGCATTGAATCTATAGATTGCTTTGGGTAGTATGGACATTTTAATGCTGTTGATTCTACCAATCCATGAACACGGTATGTTCTCCCATCTATTTATGTCTTCCTTTATCTCTTTTTTCAGTGTCCTATAGTTTTTCGCATGTAAGTCTTTTACCTCCTTAGTTAAGTTTATTCCTAGGTATCTTAATTTTTTTGGTGCGATGGTAAATGGGATTGCTTTTTTAGTCTCACTTTCTGTAAGTTCACTATTGGTGTAAAGAAATGCCTTAGATTTCTTGGCATTAATTTTGTATTCTGCTACATTGCTGAATTCATTTATTAAGTCTAATACTTTTTTGATGGAGTCTTTAGGATTTTTTATGTACAGTATCATGTCATCTTCAAATAAGGACAGTTTTACTTCTTTCCAAATTTGGATGACTTTTATTTCTTTTTCTTGTCTGATTGCAATGGCTAGTACTTCCAGTACTATGTTGAACAGGAGTGGTGAAAGGGGGCATTCCTGTCTTGTTCCTATTCTTAGGGGAAATGGTTTTATTTTATGACCATTGATTATGATGTTGGCTGTGGGTTTGTCATATATGGCTTTTATTATGTTGAGGTATGATCCTTCTATTCCTACCTTGCTGAGAGTTTTCATCAAGAAAGGGTGTTGGATTTTGTCAAATGCTTTTTCTGCATCAACTGATATGACTATGTGATATTTATCTCGCAATTTTTTTATGTGATGTATCATGTTTATTGATTTGTGGATATTGTACCATCCTTGCATCCCCGGGATAAATCCTACTTGGTCATGGTGTATGATCTTTCTGATGTATTGCTGAATCTGATTTGCTAGAATTTTGTTGAATATTTTGGCATCTATGTTCATGAGGGATATTGACCTATAATTCTCTTTCATTGTGATGTCTTTTTCTGGTTTGGTATTAGGGTGATACTGGCTTCATAGAATGAGCTGGAAAGTGTTCCTTCCTCTTGAATGTTTTGGAAAAATTTGAGGAGGATAGGTTTTAGTTCTTCCTTGAATGTTTGGTAAAACTCCCCTGTGAAGCCCTCTGGCCCCGGGCTTTTGTTTGCTGGGAGCTTTTTGATGACTGCTTCAATTTCCTCCATAGTTATTGGCTTATTGAGATTTTTAGAATCTTCTGGATTGAGTTTTGGAATGTTGTATTTTTCTAGGAATATGTCCATTTCCTCCAGGTTGTCTAGTTTGTTGGAGTAGAGTTGTTCATAGTATTTTTTAACAATTCCTTGAATTTCTGTGTGGTCTGTTGTTATTTCACCTCTTTCATTACTGATTTTGTTTATTTGGGTCCTCTCTCTTTGCTTCTTAGTGAGCCTGGCTAGAGGCTCATTAATCTTGTTTATCCTTTCAAAGAACCCACTCTTGGTTTCATTGATCTTTTGTATTGTTTTTTTTTTTCTCTATGTCATTTATTTCTGCTCTAATCTTTATTATCTCCTTCCTTCTGCTCACTCTGGGATTTTCTTGTTGCTCTCTTTCTAATTCTTTGAGTGGTAGAGTTGGTTGATTTACTATCATTTTTTTCCTTGTTTTATGAGGTAGGCCTGTACAGCTATAAACTTCCTCTCAGGACTGCTTTCATTGTGTCCCATAGATTTTGGATTGTTGTGCTTTTATTGTCATTAGTTTCCAGGATGTTTTTAATTTCTTCTCTGATCTCATTGGTAACCCAATCATTATTTAGTAGCATGCTACTCAACTTCCAAGTGTTTGAGTATTTTGGGTTGTTTTTATTGTAGTTTATTTCTAATATTATGCCATTGTGGTCTGAGAAGATGCTTGGTAAGATTGGTATGATTTCAATCTTTTTGAATTTGGGGAGACTGCTTGTGACCCAATATGTGGTCTATTTTTGAAAATGTCCCATTAGCACTT